TTTCTCCTCGCAGAAATATCAATTTTCCCCTTCTCCCAAATTTCGTACCTTTAATTCCCTTTCACTTCCCCCTCTTCTTTTAATATTATTTTTCCCTCCTCTTCCATTTCATTTATTTGTTTTTTGTAACTTTGATCAGATTGTAGAGATTCGATTTCACTATTTTTACTGTTATTAAAAGAAAGTTTTTCAATAAAAACAAAAGGTTTATCAGGAAAATTACTTTCAGCTTCATGTTCTTTCTGAGTATCACTTAAATGTAGTGAACTTTCTCCTTCTTCAACCATTTTTTTAATTAAAAAAAAAAAAGAAACATGGGAAAATTAAGGTAGATTTAAATAAATTCGTGAAATGGAAGATTTATTTTTTTTTATTTTAGAGACAAATTGAAAGAATAATTCACAGATTGAAGGAGTAATCCGCAGATTGAAAAAATAATTCAAATTAATCCTTCAATCCATGAAGTAATTTTTCAATTCGCGGATTTAACATATAATCCAGATTATTCAGATTATTTTTTTTTTAATCTGGATCTTTTAAACTTTTAAAAAGTGATCCATCAATCCGTGTTATCACGGATAATCTGTCAGATTGACGAATTGTCATCTATGGATCGCATCTCTATCAGAGATCAAGTTTTGAAAAAAATACTTGATCAATTGGATGCAAGAAATTATGATAGCAATATCTATGCTGATATATATGATGGGAGAGTTTGGAATTTAATTTTTTTCGATGGTAACAAATTTTTTAGTCTGGAAACTGTCACCTCAAATTTAGGATTATTAACCTTTCAAATATATACAACATAGTACTGGTACTATTTATGTCTCGATATGCAATTTCTCTAGGGCTAAAAAAAATAAGTCCAAAAATATAATTTATTTAGGCTTTCTTCTAGGACCTAAAAAAGTTGATAAGAATCAAATTAATCATTATCTATCACTGATAATTGATGATCTTAAGGAATTATGGAAGAGATAGAGAGTTCCTGAAACATATGAAAATAAGGATGGGCTTGATATAAGAGTTACAATAATAGTAAATTCTTCTGATATTCCAGATACACAAAAGTTATTTAGGCATGAATCTTTAGTGATGAAATGTCACAGATACTTAAAAAGAAGTTGATATAGTGAGACATTTAAAAAGACTTATTATAAAGGTACGCAAAATTATAAACAATGGTTATCAGAACCAGCAGATCTCTAGTTACATAGAGAATATACTCAAAAATGGCTTAGATGTGATACCAGAGAAATAAGAAATGCTTATTTCAAAAAGCATGGAGTACGTTGGTTTGAATTACTTCATCTCCCATATATAGATCCAATTAGATTTGTAATAATAGATCTTATACATTATCTATTTCTTAGAGTTATCAAATGAATAATTCAATTCATATTTGTTAAAAAAAATAAGCTAAATTCTGAGTAATTTCATATAGCACAAAGGAGAATGGATAGTGTTCAACTTCCATCTGATATTGGTTAAATTCTACCAAAGGTCACTATTGAAAAAAAATTTTTAAAGCTCACTGCTGACCAATGAAAGACCTTCATTATAATATATGTAACAACAATTTTATGAGATATGTTAAATGATAATAATAGAAAGATTTTAGGATATTTTGTTTGGGTATGTAACTTATTGGTTATTAGATTTGTTACAGAAGACGATCTGCAAGAAGTACAAGAACAATTAAAGGATATATTCATAAATATAAAAAGAACCTATGGACCTAAATTCATTATAAGTAATATCCATTTATCGATACATATTCCTGAATGCATACGGGATTATGGCTTCATTTATAGCTTTTGGTTATTCCCATATAAAAGATTAAATGGATATATAAATAAACTATAGATATCGGGTATATGAATTATAGTAAATAAAATTTTAACACAAATTTTTCATAGGTTCTTATCTCAATAGTAATCAACAGATCGAACTTGAACTTATGAAAATACTTCTCAAAAATTCATTTGTGGATTATCATCTTTTCTGTTAATAGACATTTGGTCTCTTGAAGAAGTCTCTTCAATTTCTTGTACCAAAGAAAATTGCTGACAACTTAGCTATAACTAATGAATTTGATAGAGAAGAGTTAAGTATTTCATCTCCTTAAGACATGATATGTCCAATAAGATTTATAGTACTGAAAATATATCAGGACGAATGCTAGCACTTTCATATAAAAAAGTAAATATTCCATTAGAACTTTATATGAATGGTATATAACATTATATAACAAAGAAAGAAAAAATGTGAAAATATGTATGGAAGTGACTATGAATCAATATGTAAGATTAAAAATAGGTAATGAAATATTTGAATCCAAAGTTACAGGTCAATATGAAAATAATACAGTGATTTTAGTGAAGTGGAATGTATTTAGAAATGAAACAAGTGATATTTATCCTGAAGAGGTACAATATTACTTTGAGTATACACTTATACTTCCAACAAAGGGACCCAAAACACATCTTCTAGCATATGTCAAGTGGTATAAAAATATCTTTCCTCTAATATATGATTTAAGCATAAGTTTATAGTATCTGAAGTATCGAATACAGAATTATGGAAAGAAGAATATTATGAGAAAGGTCAAGATTCAATTATTACAATGTATAGAATATATGGTAGAGCTATTAAGATAGACTATTAGGTTGGAAATAGAAATAATTATATATCAATAATTCTATTGAATAGAAGATTTACACTGGTTGAAAATTGATAAATCATACACATATCGGATACCTGATATGTGCATGGTACATCCCTAATATCAGGCTTATATCGGATACTCGATAGGTATAGAAAATATGTTTTTACACTTATTGGGTATCTGATATATATATAAAATATTTTCTACACCTATCGGGTATCCAATATATATCCGATATTAGCGACGTACCATGTACATATTGGATATCCGATGTGTGTATGATTTATCAATTTTCAACTAGTGTTAATGTTTAATTTATTCTTTTTTTTTTTATTATAATAAAAATAACTTCAAGTAGAAAACTTGAATTTTAAGTATATACTACATAAAGACGAATTAAGTTTAATTAAAATATAGTGTCAAGAATTTGATAGATTATATAAAATTTAAAATAAAAAATTTTCTCATATGCCCAATAAGAAAAAGAATATCGGTTCCTGATATACTTTAAAAATATTGGGTTCATGATATTACTATAATATCAAATATCCAAAGGAATCTAAAAAATATCATGCTCCTGATATTACTATTTATTATCATATACCCGATATTAAAAAATATTAGATATCTGAGATTAAAATAAAATTTATTATATAACTATTGAACACATTATAAAATTTATAAAAGTACTATTGGGTCCTTAAACAAAAATGCAGATATTGAACTCCCGATATATATAAAAATATTTTATGATTCCTGATAATTTCCCGATAATCACCAAATATTTGAGAATATCAGAGAGCCGATAGGTACCCAATAGATATTCAATATTCAAATTTTAATCTGTATTATCTTGAGATATATATGTGATATCATCCATATATGCAAGTGAATTTACTTTATATTTAAAAATCCTTTTCTCCTGTATTCTCATATCACCATATTTTAATTTCTTCATGTAATAATCTTCTACTTGCTTTTGAATTTAAGTTAATAATGGGTCATAGTATATTCTTCATAACAGTGGTAATAATGTATCTCCTTGTTCTATTCCCTGGTTAGAGTTAAAGGTTTCTGTTAACCCATAATAAGTTATTACTTTACTAATTCTATTATCTATTAGTTTACTTAAAATTGCTATAATTTCTTCTGAATTTTAATTCTTTTTATACTTTTCTTTAATATATCTATATTTACAGAATTAAAAGCTTTTGATATATCTTGTAATAGGATCCATATTTCTTTTTTAAATTCTTTAACTTCTTCTATACAGTTGTTTAATATATGTATTGGATTTTGTGTTGAACCTTTAGGCAAGTCTTCCTAATTATTTTCATTAAGAATTTTATGTCTTGCAATAATTGTATTGAGTCTATTATAAATTCCTTTTGTAAATATTTTCCAAACTGTTTTTAATAAAGTTATTGGTTTGGTATTCCATATATTCTTCTTCCAATCTTTTGATTTAGCTATAGAAAATATATGTCTCTCTGGCCATTCTTTTGATATTTCTTTATTTTTTAAAATCTAATTAAATATATTTGTAAGAAACTAAATTACATTGTTTTCCATGTGTTTCCATAATTCATTGAAAATATTGGATGAACTTGATACCTTTTTATTTGATAATTTTCTAATAATTTCTTCTATTTCTTCTACTGTAAAATTTTTTGTAAGTGGTAAATACCATTCCTCTCATATTTTATTATTTTGATTATAGGTCTATTTCCATTCTTGATATTAATTCAGATCTTCTATGTTTTTTGATGTGATCTAATGACTAAATATATTTTTGACTTCTTGTTTTATTTCTTTAAATCTGTTATTGCTTCAATTTGTTTGTTGATTATTCTGGTTAAACTATATATTATTATTCTTGATTTTTTTTTATTTAATAAACTTTGAATAACTATTTTTTTGTTATTCAAAAAGTTTTTATTTCTTTTAATAATTTGTTCTTTAATTTTCTTATAATTCACTTCTTTTATTTTTGCATTAAATATCTTGTGCAAAGTATGATGCATCTTTTTAACCAATTTTTATTCTCATCTGATGTTTCTGTTCATATTGAAATTGTAATTTCTGTATTATAGTCTTTCCTAGTTTTTTCTATCTTTTTTCTTATTTTATCTTTTAACAAATCCTTTTGTTTACTGTTGATATAATATCATTTACTCCATTTATAAATTTTCCTTATAGCTATAAGTTTTATATATATAATGAAATTATTATGTAATGTTTTGGATTCTTCATATTTTTCAGATATCAGTTTTTTCTTTTTAGAAATTATTTCATTTACTTTTTGAATTATAACATTTCTGAAAAAATTTCATTTTTCTTCTATATTGTCATTTCCAACAAAGATATTTTCTCTTATTATTTCTTCAATCTGTTTATTGTATTTTTTCCATTTTTTTTTTAATGTTCCCTTAAAATTAAATTCTATTCTGTTCATAATTTCATTTGGATTTGTTATTGATCTAATGTATTTAAATATGTTATCTTCTATTTCCATCATTACACATGCATTGTTACTGTGACTTTTCAAATCTGTAGGTATAATATCAGTACAAAAAAGTTGATCTACTAAATTATCTGATATCCATATTTGATCTATTCTACTTTTAATATCTTGAGTACTATTTCTCCATAAAAAGTTTAATGTTATTTTATTTGTAAATATGTATTTACTGTTGTATCTTTGTATATTCTGAATGTATCTTTAAATTTATTATTGTCTAGGAATCTTAAAATTTGACTTTCTGATTTATCTGATCTGTTTCTTGCATTTATATTAATATTGAACCTGTTAATTTTAGAATTGAATGTAGCATTAAAATCTCCCATAACTATTGTATAATAGTTGTCCTTAATTATACAATTGTTTAATTTTTGTATTATCCACTTTGTTACATATATTCTTAATTTCCTTTGGTCTACACTTGCTGAATAATATACTACAATTATTTGTAATTTTATTCTCTTTTTAAATAACAATTTTATAGAAATCACATTGTTTTCATATTAGTCAATTTTATAAACATGTTTTGCCCATGTTTTTTTTATCATGATTCTGATTCCTGATCCCTTTATTTTTTGTCCATTTGTCTAAAAGTACTTATATTCATCAATATTCTTGTCTTTTCTTAGTATTTCTTTGATTATATCATTTCTAAATATATATCCACAACTTTACTCTTTTGTTCAGGTTTCAGTCAATCCAACTATGTCTAAATCTTTCTCTTCACAAAATTTTAACCAATCTATTTGTTTTGTGATGTTAGTTATTCCTATTATATTTTGAGTAACTTTTTTTAAGGTTTTAAAGTTGTTCTGATCTAAGTTTTTAATTGCTTGGTCAATATTGTTATTTTGATTATTATTTATTACACAATTATTATTATTGTTTAATATATTGTTATTTATATTAATATCAAAATTTGATATTTGATTACTAATATTATTAGTAATTTCACTAATTATAATATACGTGTTGCCCAAATCCCAAATTATTTGGGATTTGGGACGCCAAAATCCCAAATTACTAGTATTTGGGATTTG